GGAATCGATGTCTCACGCTTGCTCTCATGAGGGGGAGGTGACAGCTGATGAGTTGGGCACACAGTTTGGTGATCTTGATTTGGACTCAACAGGTGGTTTCCCAAACCTTGGAGCTGCAATGCCGCAGCTCGAAGGAGACAAGACTTTAAGCGTCTCTGGACTGCATGCATGTGCGTGGGGAGGGGCTTGTATACTTACGTGTGTGCACATTGCCCTGACACCACCAATTCCCCGCTCGGCCATAGCATATCAGGTACAAGCACGACTGACCAGTTACCTGAAGAACACGTTGAAGAGCAAGAACTCTATTTGTGCCCTGTTAGACAAGATCCGCCCGCTTTCTGATGACCCCGCCTGCAAACAGCGACTCGGCAAACCAGTGCTTGCTGATGCTGATCGAAGCCACGAACTGCAGGGTGTAATTGAAATTGCCTCGGATGAACGCTTTGCAGGACGGTCTCCAAGCTTGACAAGCATGCCGCAGACCTTGAGGCCTCGTATGACACATTGGCTGAATTGCAGGCGGAAGGGAAAACCACTGGTTTCAGTGAAACGTGCCTTGCCGGCACTACACAATCCCACTCACCCAAGCTTCCAAGCAGTGTTGTTTGTGCTCATCATTTCTTGTTTCCATGCAATGCAACTTGTTGCATGAGGATCTCGCAAAAGGTGGAAGCTGAGTTCACGAAGTTGACCAAAGTGAAGCTTTTCTGCATCCAGTCGTGCTGCACCGTGTGTAAACTCCACCCTTGAAACCACTAAGTTGCTTCATATATATAGGGTCAAAAAAGTGGTCTTCCCTTGAGTCCACGAGCCTTAAAATGGTCTACTCTGCCATGTTTGAACAACTCTGCAAAGCATAAAGTATATAGGCGGCCTGTTTCTTCCAAACTCCACTCTCCAGAGCATTGCATGGAAACCCCCCTCACAGCAAGTATCCTTTTGTCTGGATCGAACAAGCGATACATGCAGTTACCTAACATATTATATAATTGCTCCTGTTCTTATATACTGTACCATGCTCGTTGTGTCACTCAGGATGTCTATGGCTACTTCCGCAGAAGCCTCCGCCAAGCACCTTCCCAAGAGGACCAAGCATCGCAGGCATAATATATGATCTGTGCCTGCCAAGGATCTTCGTGGCAAAAGCCAGGCGACAGAAGGTTAAGCCTGAGTGAGAGACCATGTGAAACCGCAGCTCTAGACTGCAGTGGTCGTCTCTGTTTCTGTGCCATTTGATGTCGGAACCCCGTTCTGCTTTGACAGGTTGTTGAACACAGATCATATAGGCTTACATAGAAACCTGTTACTGCAGGGGTCGACATGCCTGGGTTTCAGCAGTTCGGGAGGGGCGTGTTGCTACACACGCCGTAGAGCCTGCGACTGCCTAAGGGGAAAAGGGTAGCTTCCTTCTTCAAGATGTTTCTCCAAGAGCAGTGCCACCCACGGTCTCTGCAAGAAGCACCATCACTGCAGCCAGGTGACGCCAATGAGCTGAGCGACACGGTGCGTCACATCGCAAAAGCCTACGCCAAAGGAGTTGCTTATCAGCGAACGGTGCATTTTAAATGTCGTGAACCACCGGATTTCTTCAGTGGCCCTGCCCTGAAATAGAAAAAGGGTGTTCTATGAAGCCGCTACTCAACCAAGGTTCCTGCGAACGATTGTGTGGAGGAAGCAAGAGCTGCCTCTAAGAACGACCCCTGCAAAGTTCTTCAATGCATAGCCCGTGCAAAACTGGAATCGGCAGATGAACCTTTGTTTTCAGCTCTGCACGGAGCTGGTCTGGCATTGAACGTTGCAAAGGAAAACATCAGTCTTGATTCGGGCTTCTCCTATCCATGCTTGCCTCCAAAAAGGGTACTGCAAGCCCTTGCTGACCGTGGTTACCTGCATATGGTTCTTGGGGTCCCAGTGGCTCACTCTGACAGGATTCTTCTGGACTTTTGGCAGAGGCATAGAATACAATATCCGGAACATGATGTTCATTCAATGGACGCTGTGGACTTCGAACATTTGATTCCATACTACCTCCATGGTGACGGAGGTCGGACATATAAGAAAGATTCGATTTTGATTTGCAGCATGTTTCCGGCACTTGGGCAGGGAACAGCAAAGAACTCTTTTGACCTGCGACCCATGCCTGGCCGCGGTGTCAAGCGCCCGCATGCAGAAGGCCATGGCGATTTCGACCCCGGCATCAATTTGGTCGGAAGCACGTTGGCCAATCGGTTCCTATATGCTGCAATGAAAACAGAGTTTTACAAAGATCATCCTCAGCGCTTTCATGAACTTATGAGCACTTGGGCACGATACATGCTTGGGATGTTTGAGGAGGGCTTTGTTTACAAAGGTGAGACATGGAAGATCCTCGTACTTGGCATGACCGGTGACGCGCCTTTTTTGAGAGAGGCTGGCTACCATACCAGGAGCTTTTCCAATGTCCGGAAGAGCGCGAAAGCCACAACTCTTCTTCCGGGAATTTGCTGGTTATGTGACGCGGGGCGTACGCATGGTCCGCCCTTTGAAGACGTTGATATCCTCAATGCTGAGTGGACTAAAACGACAGGCCCGCTGAATCCTCTGCCTTGGCTAAGACCAGGGCCTATGATTGAGTGGCTTCCGGTTGACCAAGATAGCTTGGCATCTTTTTATTTGCCTGACCTCTTTCATATTTGGCATTTGGGTGTTGCAAAGGACTTTTGTGCTTCATCAATCATTTACATTGCTAAGACCGTCTATTCTGCCAGGTCGATCAAAGCAAGCTTGAATCAGGTGGACCAGGAACTTGCAAATTACAAAGCATCACACAAGAAAGAAAGATGTCACTTTGGAACTCACTTGAGCTTGGATCTGTTGGGGTATGAGTCTACACGCACATACCCTTCCGGACATTGGTCGAAAGGCGCCGACTCCAGCTTCTTTACAAAATTTGTAGAGTACCTGGTTGAAAGCAACTTTGAACAGAACGATGGTTTGAAGAAAGACAAAATGCTCGAATACATTCTGACAGCATGTCGTGCAGCGGGCGCTCTTCTACGCACTTTGTTCAAAGGCTCTTTCTGGCTGTCAAAACATGAAGCTGAAAAGGTGATAGAGAGGGGGTACGAGTTTGCCAGGATGTATATCCTTTTGGTTCGCTGCAGCCTGGACCGTCAGTTGTGTTTGTTCAAGATTAAACCAAAGTTGCATATGTTTTGCCACCTGATCCATATGGCCTTGGTCCAATACCGAGTTGATGCGAGCTCTGTTGTGAACATGTTGGCGCACAGTACATTCCAGTGTGAGACGTTTGTGGGTCATGTGGCGAGGATGTCCCGAAGAGTATCGGCAAAGGCACACGGAGCCAAGATTTTGCACAGGTATTTAGTCGCGATGGAGATGGCACTAGCTCAAATGAAATAAAAAGGAAGCAATGCTGCAAATGTCTTGTTTGGGAAGGATTCCACAGCAATGGCTTCACCACATGCGGTTGTAGCAAAACAGCATGTTTGCAAACGACCGTTTCTGAAATGAAAGTGGTCTTCGACCATTTCTTTTTGGTTGTCTAGTTTCCTAGGTATATATATAATCTGTATATATATATACATATGACGTATGCAACCCCGCCCCATTGCATATCTTTTTATTCACTGCTGCAGTTTTTAAGCACTCCAAGACAGGATTGCCTACTGGCATTGTTCAAAGTTGTGGGCGTTGCAATGGTTTTGCTAGAAGCTCAGAATTCTTTGCAACAAAAATATGCGAACCTTGCACTGTATGAAACAAGAAGGGTGAGCGAAGTGGATGCATTCAAAATAAGCGCTGTTTCACACTTGGTAAGGTCAGTATAGGATCCTGACGCAAATACGTGTCCTTCACATGAGCCTCTGCACAAATCGTTGTGTTGTATCAGAAAAGAAGCCTCAGATCAGCATAGGAATCGTGTGAAAGAACTGTTCTTCGCAAAATGGCTGCTGTGTTCTTTTAAGGGAATACTTTTCTAAGCCTGCTGTTATAGGTTCTCAGGTGTTTTTAAACGAGTTGGCACTTGCTGAACCAATGCCCTATTTGGCTTGAACTTGGGTCCTATATAAAGAGAAACTAACGTCCTGGAGCAACATCCGCGTCCTAAATAGGAATCAACAATATATATATATATAGAGATATTGATATACATCAGTTCAATAAATCCAATGTGTATGTATTTGTTGATTTACCAACAGTCTTTCAGACACATCCAACTCTTGGGAAGCAGTATTACACCAATGCCTGTGAAGCCAAAACAAATCAGCCACAACGCATCGAAAAGGGTGCCGGCCATACCAGATTGTTCAGGTCCATTTTTGGACCACACCAATCCGAACCAATCGCAATCTCTGGAAGGGTATTATGAAGGCATGCCAAAACATTGAGAAGGAACCCAAAGAATAAGAAAACCAAAGTTTCAGGATATTTTCAAGACCCACGCATTGGTCATTGATCCAGAGATGGACCTGAAACTGTGTTTTATTGAATTCTTGGTACCTTTTGGATGCTTTTGTAGTGATTCATTAGTTTGGACCTTCTTTTGGTTCGCCGTGAGGTGTCTGTTTTGGCTGGTTAGCACTGTTCTTATGACTCGCTTTCAGATTCCTCTTAAGCACATAAATGTGTACGTAGGTCAGCAGAGACTTGATGACAGAATAAACTACGTGCCCATTTCGATGTTGATTGAATTAATGCAGACATATGGACCGTGCATGTTATTGATTCATTATTGACAACGCTTTGATATGCACATGTATGGTACGGTTCCCCCTGATAATTGTGCAACGTACTTAAATGTCCCAAAAGCAAATGTACCAGGGGCGGTTACTGCATATAGTATATTAAATAGTTATATATACTGTAAATATATACAATTGCTGCTTATGTACTCCTACTACTTATGGTACAAAGCTTCTAAGGGACTACAACTAAATATAACGTGTACCTTAAATGCACTAAAATGCTCTATATTGGTCCTCTGAGACACTGAGGAGATTGTAGCAGACATGGCTTTGATCCTATTTGTCTTCTTCCGGTTGCCTGCAGTGATCATGTGCACTCGCACCTCTTTGGTACTCCTTTGCAACACGGCATTTGTGGCACTGACCGTTTACCGTGCTTACAGCAACTCGGCTGGCAGACCTGATTGCAACATGTGCAGACCTGGTTGCAACGAATGGAAGGACCGCGAGTTGTCTTGTTGAGCTTTGAGTTGTTTCAAACGTGAACGGTCGTGACGACCAAACGAGGGGTGAGGGCGAAGTCCGGACCGGTGAAGAGGAACTCCGGTTGAGCAAAAACACTGACACCATCATTTTGAGGTGATTGCAGGGGTGATATTCTTTCTTAGTTCCAACTTCCTAGGATCCAACGAGGTGTGCTTCTCATCCCAACCAAGCAAGAACATGTTTGGACACAACATCTAAATTCAACTCCTTGACGATTCCCACCATTTGGCCGGGAGAGGCAGGTTCTACAGTTGAGTCTTTTGAGCAGCCCAGATGTCCTGGGGTCGTTGCAGTCGCCGGGGGAGCACAACGATTTATGTCTATGTAATAATGCCATGGACACAACACCGATTCACCTAACAGCTGGAATTGCATAGCATGGTGGTGTGTCGCTAGTAGTCGTGTGGCGGGCCATGGTGGGCCCTTGTTGTATGTTGGGACTGTTGGTGGTAGTGGTGGTGGTTGATGGTGTTCGCCGTGGTATGTGGTATTGCTGGTGTGGCCTGGTGGTGGTTGAGCACAACCAAAGTTTTCAAAGAAGAAGGACCGAAGATCTAACAGAAAAAAGGCTCCCCAACTCTCCGACTCGGCATGACTCCGTGTTTGGACGAAGGACAGGCCAGATCTAACCGCAAGAAGCCTCTGACCACATAGCTTTTGGTATATTTGGGTTGGAAAAAGATCTTATAAAAGATCGTTGTGTCCATGGTTAGGCCCATGTTTTGTTAAGTTCCAGTATTCATTGTGCTCCCGTTTATTTTGCTAAGGGTTGGGAGGTGTCCATTTGGCGCAGTCCCAGATCAAATCCATCGGCCAATCTTGCCAGATGAAGATCTCGAAGAGGAAGGGACCTTTGGATCGGCTTACGTAGTGCTTTGGATCGATGCTTGGAATGTAAAGATGAAACATACACTAGTAGCTTCTTGCTACTAGTAGCGATGGCCTCCAACCTAGTAGCGTCCTTGCTACCACTACCACCAAGTTGTTGTTGGAATGTCTAGTTTGGAAATGCTTTTCGTTTTCCATAGTAGTTTCGATATGTTTCGACCTGAGCCGTTCTCTCTCTTTCCCTCTCTCTCTATATATATATATGTTCTTTTTGTGATGCACTGTTGACATGCTGACCTCCTTCTTTAGGTTTGATCGCCATCCTACACCAAATAGGAGTGTTGCGGGGTGTTGCTTGGACAGACCTTAACAATTGCGGAGATAGACTGTCTTTCCAATTCATTGACAAATTTGCTTTCAGAACCGTTTGGGGAGGAAATAGTAATAAACTTGTAAAGAAGGGCTTGAGTGGTACTGATGGGCAGAGGTGGGGTACTAGTTTTAGTACAGGTATGATACTAACACAACTTGTTACTGTAATGGTATGATATGATATTGTAATCTATATAGTGTGTGTATATATATATATATGATGTCACTCTTAAGCCCCGAGGAGCTATTTGTTTGGAACAATTTGTTTGTTGGCTTGTGTGAGAAGAAAGAATCCAGCAGCTCTGGCAATTTTGCATTGATTCTCGTCACTAGTTGACATGAACCACATACCTCTCAAACAAAGCCAGTTATCAACATATGATTTTACTGGCTCAAGTTGGTGAAACATACTCTAGGTTTACCTGCTGACCAAATTGATTGAATGTATTGTATCATATTTTCCAAGAACCATCAGAAGTTGAGCACCTGACCTGTATCACTGTATCACTTGGCAGAGTTCCAACAGACAACTGAGTATAATGTTTCCAGATTCTTGACAAGTTCCTTGTCCTATCTACATCAGAAGTATGGACGGCAGGTAGACCAGATGCTTTGGAACTTGTTTCTATACATTTACTGTATGCATTGTAGCATCACTCTAGATTGGGACCTTCAACAAATGAAGCAGTTGCTTGCGAACAAAGCAGCATGGAGAAGACCAACCATACCCACAAAACAGCTGGACTGTTTGTCCATTGTTGGACTGTTTGTCATTTGCTTGTGCAATCTTGGGGTCGAGAATGTGCGTTGTTTGATGAACCTTTTTTTTTGCTGAGATGGGATATGCCAAGTTGTTGCCAAGTTACACCGGCAAGCGGCGCTTTGCGCTTGCCACAGCCCTAGCTGTGCGTCCTCCAGCCTGATGTTGCATGATGTTGCTTAAGTCTTTTAGAGGGGTGATCTACAAAAGTAGCCCTACCCACTTGTGGGGTAGGCTTTTTCTTGCGAAGTTGTGGGAGGCTTTGTGCTCGATGTTGCCAGTTCTTCCCATGGACGAGGAAGATTAAGAAGAGAGCTTATTTTATCAATGCGATTGTTTGGCTGTCCCATTTCGGACCACGACACCTGAGGAACTCTCCACCTTCGCCATCACGCTGGCCTTCAGCGTCGCGCTGCGATCTCTCCTCGCTCGAAAGGTGCTGTTGACCCGCGTTTTGCAGGGTGCATGAGACTTCAAAACGGCGAGGTCAGAACACCACCAGTCGAATTCATCCGGCGAAGTGGCAGAGTTTTTCCCTGCCTCCGGGAAGCGTCAAGGGGGCAACGGTGATTTCGGGGCCTTGGCGCGTCATGGGGTCGTTGGGTCCGTTCGTGGGACAAGACAGGAGCTGAAGATGAAGTTAGTTGTTGATGCGCGTTCTTCAAGAATTGCTTTTAAGGTCTTTCTACTGCTTGCACAAAGGGCAGGATACTGTTTAGGGCAACCCTAGGGCAGCTGCATAAGTTGTAAAAAGCGACATCAGTAGATACGAATCCTTCCTTGAGCCTTGAGTTAATTGCAGTGTTGTAATTTTGAAGATGGGAAACTTCATCCGGGTTTCAACTCCGGGAATGTTGCAGAGTACTGTAATTACCAAGTAGAATCAATATAGCCCGCTGCACCTGGTAAAACATGGTGCATGTTCAATGAATGTTACTTCCGAGCTTTCAATAATACACTCACCAACTCTGTCACCCAGAAGAATCATCGAAACCATCCAACTTCTTCCAACAACCATTCAAGGGATATTGAACAAGATCCTTTCAGATTCTGGATACATGCCTGCAATGTTTACTAACACAGAGGGTCGAACACTATATAATTGGAGGATCTGGCTATGAAGTTTCATCCGTAATTAGCCACACACGGGCGACAAAACACGCTTGTTTGCCCGTACCTAGCCCGCGTACCAGTGCAGCTTCCACAACTTGTTGGCCTTTGAAAGACCGTCAATAGGATTAAGGCTGGTTAAGACTATTCCTTCCTCCATCAGGCGACTCGGGTGCAGACCATTTCTTTCTCATTCTTTGTGTGTGTTTTTTTTTTTTTTTAAAGGGGGGCTGTTGGTGTGCGTGTGCCTCCTGGAAAAACCGCCGCACAAAAACAACAATCCATCGATCCAGGTTCTTTTTCAAAGGTCGATGCGCTTTGCAGATGCCGCCCCGGCGATACGTCGTGGCACTGTGTGGTGGTTTCATCCCGTGCTCCCGTCGTGGGTTGGGCACCACGAATGGACTCGGACATACTGTATCCCTGATAGGACATCTCCCTGATGGGTAGTGGTTCAAACGGGATCATCACCCCTGACTGTGCGCGCAGGTGGAGTACAAGATGCAGCAGGCAAACGCGGAAGCTGAGCTGCGTTTAAGGCATTAGATGATTTGGTGTTTTTATTTTGAATTGAGTTTTGTACTGAACTGTATTGAGCACTGTACTGATATCCTAGAAAGTCTTCTTTAGGATATCTTAGGGTGCTTATACGTACGGACAGATGGCGGCCGGTGGTCGGGCTGAGACGGTCAGATCGTACGGATCGGTTCGGTTGGGGGATTATGTTACGGTCCCGCCGTTTTCCCTCTTTGAGGCGATGAACCAAGGAGAATCAGGGAGACATAGGGATGATGAAACGGATGAAAGACATAATTCATAACAGTCATTGAATTAGACAGTATTATAGTATTGATATATAATAGTTAGACTTGTTCCTCGAGGACTGGTCTACGGATAGGGAGTCCACTGCACCGCTACACCACTGCCACATGATGTTGGTTTGCCAATAACTTCCAAGGAGACTCAATTCTCGGCAGCCTCCACATTGCTCAGCCTGATGTGTGACGCAGTCGTTGAGCTCGATGAATCCTTTTGCTTGCGGAATCACTCGAAGGCCCTTGCGGCGATGCTTTTGAAATCCAGCCGCTGGGGCTCCGCTTCGGCTCGTTGAAGTATTCGCACAAAGAAGTGAATTCTCACCGGCAAGTGGGGAAATTCCCCCAAGCACCCTGGGTCAGTACCTGCCATTTCCAGTCTTGTTTTGGAGACGTAATTAATGCTTTAAAGACCGCGCAGAGAACTTAAATGGTTCAGGGACACATGGCATACACCGCAGACAGCTGTTTTTTGGGAGTGTGACATGTAGGCAACTAGACTAGACTTTGAAGAAACCCGATTATACACCAGGCAACACCCTTCACCTCCCTTTGTCCGTGCTCGAAATGGATCGGACTATCCTTCCGCATTCGCCGAGACGTAGAACTTGGCGATTGAGGCGACTTGCAGGGTCTGAGCTTCTTGGACCTCATGCCCTCAGTGGATGCCACGCGTGCCGACGAACACTTGCGCACCGTGGGGGAGGCTCCGCAGAGAGCGGTGGCGCACGCCTTCCACACGCGGCTGGTGGACTCATGTTCCACCAAGCTGGAGGCTGAAGTGTTTCAGGTGCTTTGAATGATTCTGATGTTGCGGAAGGTGAGATAAGGTCGGGTCGACGCAAGTGAGCTCATCTCTATATAATATAGGGAGAACTCTGGATATTTTTTACTTGCAAAGAGAGGCAAAGGCTCTATATCCTCAAGATTTGTTGCCAACATTAAAATAACTCGCAAAGGCCGTAAAGGTGACCATTGGACGTTTTTGAAGCGACACTTCTTCATGGAAGTTAAGCACAAGAACTCTTGTGGTGCAAGGGTTCTGACAAAAAGGAGCAAAGCTTCGGTTGAAAAGCATCAGGAAATCAAGATAACTAAAGGAAGAGGGCTCTCAGTGGCATGTTGATGCGTAGTGATAAATCATTGTTTGGACGATCATGCTTGATGCAAGACTTTGAGAAGGAAACCATGAAACAAAGCTCTCCACACATGGCGATGTTCCTCACCATGTTCCTCGTGGGAGCCTGACCCCAAACCGGCCGTCGCGATCGGGCACTCTCCAGCTGCTGCATGGAATGGATCCTGGATGTCCACGATACGAGGAAGAAGAGTCCAGCATGTTACTACGGTAAATGTTGTTGCAGGATTACCTTTGGCAACCTGGGCGGGTTTTCGATTCCCTTCACATTTGTTGCCAGACTAGTTGGCTGATCTTCAGAGCGTCCTGACGTGCCCAACCTGGGCCACGTCCGCCAAATGAGAATGAGGTAAAGTACACGCAGATGAACGGAGAGCACTGCCATTTGGTTGGAGTGCGTGAATTCTCCGACCATCCACCCAAGCCGTGTGACGGATGGGCGGAGGATCAGGAGGATGTGGCGGATGTGTGTGACAGCGAGGAGGCAGGTGACCGGTGGGGAATCGCGTCGCTGCCTTTGAGGGATGGGTACGAGGGATTGGCAATGAACGCATCCATTTACGTTTGTGGAGTGTGCAGTTTTTTTTGGCGATGGTGTATCTGTTGGCAGGTTCCTTTGTTTCTTGTTCTGGGGGTATGATTTCAGAAGGTCTGGCTGCAACAGCAGCCCCAAATGAGAAATTGAGCGACATTCTTGGGTCAGTACTCGTACAGCAGGCAGGCTTTTCTGCTTGTTTGTTTTTGTGATTCTTAATTTTCTTCCAATGCCAGGTTCTGGAGATGGAAGAGATGTACGAAGTGGCGGAAAAAGGACAGAAAACCATGTTGGAAGTCGACATGAAAGAGATGAAGATCCATGCGGCATCCGCGCCATTGGAGGCGTTGCTCACTGGAATACGAGCAAATGTTTAATGGTTTTCTCATTTACTTCGTTCTTGCAATATGGTGACCCCAAATACCCCAAAGTAAGCTAACAAAAGGATATACCAATACAGAGTCGCTTCCTATCGATTCCTGGCTTTCAATTGCGGACTCAGGTGCGTGGGCTTGCCGCTTCAGGAGATCTTTGCAAGTCCCACCATTCAGCTCTTTTGCGGACTTCATACTCAGGCCGTGTTGCAATCCCGAGGCCAAGATTTGCCAGGGAAGATCTACTATTTCAAGGAAATGCCCATGTCTTGGACTCGTGAACCGGTGGACATCTCAGGCAGTATGCAACTGATGCGTTCGATCAATGGATCGGTGACCATCATGGTCAGCTTCAGCATGCCAAGGACATCGCGTATGGATTCTCCTGTTTGGGATCATGTCAGTACGGCCTTATCATGCTCTGATCCAGGTTCCGTCAAAAGAAAAACATCTGCCACGAGCTTATGAGCAGAGCAGCTTTGCGGAGCCTGTAAAACATCCAGCCACCGGAGCCGGATTCGGAAGCACACGAGGAACATCGATACCACTGGTTTCTTGTAGAAAACCAGAGGTTTTTCCCGACCCTCGTAGGGTGCAACTGCTGACCTTTGTTTGTATCTGACTGTGAGCAGACCAGATCCGATTCAGAGATATTTGCACCCTACGAGAGTGCGAGTTCCGAGATGGTAAATTTGCCCAAGGCAGCGGTGGAGAAAGTCTGTGCTGCGGGCTGGATTATGATGATACAAAATATATAGTATCCATCGCGAATCCCACCGAGCAAGTATTCGTTCAGTATCTCAATATGCAATCAAAAGAGGGATTTGCTGACAGTATGAATTCATGTGCATATCACTCTCGGCATTTGAAGGCGATTCATTATTGCAGAGCTGCCGCAACAAAGTTTAGTACTTTCAGTATGCAGTATACATGTAGACAAATTACATAACCGCCTACAGTACACATTATAGCTATAATCATATCCATGTGTATGTTCTGTGTGGTGTGCATGTTTCGCGATGGTTGATAGCTATTTTACTGAAGTGTGATATAATGCCAGATCAACTATCGGAGCTTGATAGCTATGTTCAGCAAGCAAGAGTTGCTTTTCGTCTGGTGATACTGCAGTGACCCACCGACGACGGGGAGTGACGACGGGTGATCGGAGTTATGAACACAAACCCGGCTGGGCACACCCCAAGTACGACGGGTGATGAAACAAGACATGTAAATTAGCTTGGGTATAAGATGCTGTCAGCAGGATGCTGTTGGGTTTCCCTCAAAATTGAGGAACCCAATGAATAGTGCGAGCGCTTCTTCAAGGAAGCTCCCCCGAGGCATCTCGGCCCAAAGCCATTTGCCTCACGCCCGTGCGTGGGCCGCGGCACTGCTACTGGCCTGCCGTGGTCGGGGTGGTGCGTCAATAGACTCGAAGCTCCTCAGCTTTGAGAACCGCCATGGACACTACGGGTACGACGAGACATGATGGACATAAGTCGAAAGTGGGATTTGTGGACTGGGCCACAATGGGCATGGCTGATAGCCTGAGTGCCTCGGTTCGTGAGGCACTGCTTGCCATTGCCACTACAGGTGAGTGCAAAGCTGCAGGTGATGCCTGGATTCTCTTTGGTGAGGTGACTGAGGTGCTGAGCCCGAACCCGTTGCATGTTCAGGTTCACCGCACTTCTATGCTGCTGACTGATGAAGGGGTTGGGGACATGTGGCCTCATTTCGACCTGATTTGTCCCATCAAGCATGATCGTGTTGACCTGTCAGTTGGCATGAGGATTGGGGTTCATGTGCAGCCGCACCATCGACTGCAGACAGGGAAGATCATTGCGGATGCCACTGTTCCTCTATGGAACCTCCCTCAATTTGACAAACACCTTGCATGGAATGTCAGCCACCTGTTTGCTGGAGCGTATGAGGGGTGGTTGCGGGCAATGTGGTGGTTGCAGCAGGCCAACCTGGGCTACTCCTTTGCCACGCATACATCAGTTGACTGGTGCCCTGAGGTAATGAAGACTTGGAGCTTCAACCATGGACATGGTGTCCAGCAGGCCCCAATTGAGGTTGGCTATAACTCCCTTGAGGTCTTCAATGGCATTTGCGCAGACATCAGTGAAACCACTCTTCCAAGAGCTACCTCGAATAAGTCTAATCTGGTGATGACTCTCTCGCCTCCCTGCCCAAGCTGGAGTAGAGGGGGGCGTAACTCAGGTTTGGCAACAGATGAAGGATTTTGTTTCCTTGATGCGATCCACCATGTGGCCAAAGTTCGGCCAGTGCTTGCCATCTTTGAGTGCTCAGACGGCATTGAGGCACACCAACATTGGAGAGCCCTGTCAGCAGCGCTGCAGTTGAGTGGGTACAAGAAGCTATGGTCGCAAGACGTTGCCATCCATCAACTCACTGGAAATTATCGCAACCGATGGCTAGCCGTATGGGCACGCCAGGATGTTGAAAGCAACAAGATCACAGAACGCATTGCCTGCTCTGCTGTGAAGCGTGTTCCCTGGGATGATCCCAAACATCTCTTTCACCTGCCAGGGGACTTGATTGATGCCCTTTGTCTCAAACCTGAGCAGTTGGAAGTATATGGGGATCGCATGCTCCTTCCACCGAGTAAGAGAACACGTGTGGCTGAAGATGCATTGATGCAGGATGTATTAGAGCAGCGCCTCCTACAATCAGGGGATTATCTTCCTACGCTATGTGCCTCATACACTGGCCAGCATTGTCTTCAAAGAGACCACCTGGATGCAAAAGGAATTTTTGCCACCTTGATTCGACATGGAGAAAGCTTTCGGTTCATTGATCCATTTACTTTTGTCACGCTATTTGGCACATCTGACTCCATTGGATTGCCGACTGACTTGCGGAAAGCCTTTCATCAACTTGGCAATGCAATCTCTCAGCTCCATGCTTTGGTTGCTATTCTTTTTGCATTTGAAGGAGTCTCTGGAGATATTTACCCTAAGCTGACTCTCGTGCAACAGCGTTGGGAGGTTCGACTGACTGTTGACAAAGCCTTCATTCGACAGTGGGATGACATGTTCGTGCTGCAGCCGTTTGCTGATTTTGTGGCCAAAGCCCTTCCCAGCATTGTGACCTGGCAGCCCTGGCTTGCAGGTAGAACCCTGATCAGATTTGGTGATGACCTGAGCTTGGTGCCATTGAATGTGCCGGCAGGATATGATGCTATCTCCTTCTTCCTCGAGAAGTTGGATCTGGGGGCTCACCACACACCTCTGCTTCAGCTCTTCTTTGATGGACGATGCTTGCCTGCCAGCAGCCAATGGGATGATCTTCCATGTGGGGATGTCGTTGCCAAACTCGGGCCACACATGCTGTGTACGTTGCAGATTGTCAGAACAGGCACTGATCACACTGATGCTGATCCTATTATCTCCCCTACGCAACCATGGGGAGGTGATGAGATTGACCCAGGACTTGATCAATTGGTGGATGCCCAACAATGTGGATTCCTCCATGCCATGGAGTATCTATGCCAAGATGCTGAGCCACAGTACAAAGGTCGAGTTCTCTTTCTGCAACAAGATGGCAGCTTTGACTGGATCAATGATGCGAATCTTGAGCGCCTGGGGAGTATCCCTTCCTTCCGGCACCAAGGCCAGGCTATGCATTTCTTCAAAGCCAATAAAGATGCATGCCAGCAGCTTTTAGGCATCCATGTTGTGATGGCTATACAGGGCACCTATGATCCGGTCAGTTCTGCCAAGTGGGTCTTGCTTGCGGGAGGCCAGGCCCTTCGCTGGTGCAAGATATGCCAGGCTCAAAGAACTACTACACCACGCCAGTGTAATGAGCTGCTTGGCCAAGAATGTGACATCACCCTGCGAAATCTGGTCAAGTGCCAACCCGATCAGCCAATGATGCTCATCAACGGTGATGTGTTATGGAGTGGTGCCCCTGCAAGGCAAGGGACTCCACTCGCCTTTGGAGGCATGGATCGTCTCGTTGACAACCCAAGCTGCAATGTCAGAAATGATCTTATGAACGCTCGGCTGCTCCAATTCAACTTTGAGCCAGGAGCACTGGCGCTTGATGAAATGGTCTTCCACTTTGACTTTCTGCAGACCCTGATGCCCTCAATTTGCTGGTGCCCTCCGGCTATTTGGATCAACAATGAATCACAGTTTCGATTCCCGGTGCAACCCACTGATCTACAGCGCTGTTACCAGCACTTTGTGGTCCCTATCCTGGTTGTCTTCGATTGGATTTTTGTTGAGGTCAGATTCTTTGAGGGACAGTGGAGAGTGTTGTATCACTCACCAGAACAGCTGACCATCAGGCAATCGACTGCTATTCTGGAGCTGGTCAATACCATGGGAATCCAGGTTGCACCCAATGCCTACAGATGGGTACGCACTGCAGAAGATTCTGAGCTTGCAACTTGGCACACACTCCGGACATTCTATGCTCGTGCCGGGGCACCATTGCTTCCTACCTCACACAGAAGCACACAGCGACTTCAAAGAGATCAGTATTCGGCCCATGTGATGCAAATCATTGATCAATCGGACTTCGTTTGGAGGGAAACAAGGGCCGATGACAGAATGATCCACTTCGCACAAGCTGCCCGAACTGCCTTCCTCCTGGCAATCACTGAATCACCGAGCCGCGCTTCTGACCTCCTCCTTAGGGCAACAGGCAGGGAGATTCATGCTTATGATGTTCGTGAGATCTTCTTTGTGTCAGAGGAATGGCTTGACATGCGTCTCAATATCTACAGGACTCACCCAGGGTGGGCTACCAGCGATGAGATTGAGTTTGCCATGAGCTTCTTTCTCCCTGACACCTTTTGTCCACCAGTTTTACATCATGATCTCTCTTTGATTGCACCAAGTGTCAAGCCGACCTGCTCTGAAGTTCAGCGCTTTGTTGCTCTTCGTGAGGGACACTGGATAGGCATTGAGGTGGTATGCAACCCGGAGGAGAGAACATGTCGTGCTGTGTTCCTGCAAGTCCCACCGAGAGATCAGCAGTTCTGGCATGACTTTGCTATTGATCACATCATTCCTTTTGGCTTTCGCCCAGTCATCATTATTGACACTAATCGAACTCGTCCTGGCATGTGTGGTTGGGAGCTACTCCACCGATGGATTGTGGTTGATTTGCGCTTGCCAGACTCGTTGCATGTGCCTCACCAGAAACGGCAAATTCTTGACGTCATTCTTGAGGAAGCCAACCAGGCATGGAGAGTTGCAGGAGCGCCACCAATGCTCAGGGCCTTTGCTGAGAATCTGCGCCGGCTCTTCTTGGTTGTTGGAGGTATTCATTTTCTGCAACCATGTGCAGCAGTCTCATTGGGAGGAATGGAAGGCCAGACAGGTACAGATGCTCCAATCACGACAGCAGACCCATGGCAGATTGAAGATCCTTGGAAGCCGAAAAAGAAGGCAATCAAGCAGAGCAAATGGGAAGACCTTCAACTTCAGTCGGATCACCCCTTTGTGGCCAAAGACAAGACGGCCCTACCATTTGTGCAGAAGCAGCAGCTGTCTACAAATCGAGGAGGTATTGCCTTTGTCTCCAAGGGCAATGTCCAGCAAGCACGGGAGGTTATTCCTAAGGAGCCATGTGC